CAGGCATTACGCAGGCTGACATTGAATAACGCTTTGTCTGTAGTGTATTTGGCCATCTTCACTTTTGTTGTTGAGAAACTGGTTTCCAACAGAATAAGAGGTTTTGTTACAAATTCTTTGAAATTTCCACGTATGGCTGTACAAGTATGTATATATATATATATATGAAACTATGTATGGAAGTAGGCAGAATAAAAAACTAAAGCCACTGGTTCGTCAGCTGCCGCACAACGTTCTTAACGATCCGTACACGATCACGTTCTCAATAGAGACTGAACATCGCAGCGACTGAGTGAGATCGCCAAGGTGGTGGCAGCTGTTGAATTTGAAATTTTTTTACATCCATGCTGAGAATTTTAGCTGGTATTTGATGAACTCATGAAGCTGATGATAATAAAGGGTGTTCCATTAAGGACAAAATAAATTGGCGCGATTTTTGTGGCGACTTGAAAGCGTTTATCTTTGACCCAGGTGTCAGTGAATGGTAGAAAATCGTTTCCATTTAAATGTTGAATTTTTCATTCGATTTAAAGTACCAAAGAGCGCTACTTACATACATATTTCGACGCGCTGGTGTAGTAATAATTTGAAGACCATTTCCTCTTAAGGTCAAAGTCACTTACCTTGGTCCCTCTCACGTTGGTTCCATGCTTTAGAAAACATTTTGTGTATTGTACTGTATAAATTCCACGCAAACAACAAAAATCGCTAATACATATTTATTTTTTAAAAAGTCTCCAGTTTTCGATCTTTGGATCTCTAGAAATTATCGAGCAATGATTTCAATTCTGAGCATTTAATCTATTCTTATATGTTGACAAGATTTTTAAGGATAAGAGATTTTTAAGATAAGAGAGACACGATTTTTAAGGATAGAATCTTTTTTGGAAATTTTGAATTCGGTTTGAGATATTAAAAAACTTATTGAATGCCAGTTACATATGTAACTTTGAAACACCCTTTATAGAGAGTCATTGCTGATCGTTCGTGGCAGTCAAAACAAAACCTCAAAACAAATGTACAAAGAGTTAAGTATCAATGAAGGCATTAAATTTAAATACAGCGGCCAAAAAGCCTCTCTTGGAATTTCAAATTTTGCAATAAAAAAGCACAAATAACGACCGTTTTATTATTTATCTAGCATTGGTGAGAGAGCAAGTTCCAAGTCGGGCTCGAAGAAACTCGAAAACTCTCAAGTTCGAGAATATTGCGCTCACAGTTTCTGCTTAATACGTAGATATGTACATACATATGCACACACACAAAACAAGTCGTCAAACATAGTTGGGAGGAAATGCACCACACCGTAGCAAAAATAAAAAAAAATTGCCAAAAATTAACAAAAAAAAAATTTAGTGGGCTACAAACTGTATCCTCAAAATCTTCCAAAAAACTTTTACTTTTATATGTACATGTACAAATGTCTGTTGATTTTTTTCTTAAAAAAATAAATAACATTTTTATTTAAAAAAAGTAACAATTAACCAAATAAATTGTTAAAGCTTGCTTGGTAAAAGTGACAACAAAATTAAGTTCTCGCAATCAAAAAGAGAGAACTGTCGAAATCACTTCCACCTTATTGAATATGCCTTGGTAGCTATTTCAATAAATATAAATATTAACCTTCTCCACCGCTCTCTATATGCAATGCATATATTTTTTTTTCCAAAAATTTGTCGCATCCAGAGTACAGCGCGGGGTTTTTGTTATTGAATGCCATACGCAAGAGTGAAACACATTTTCTCTTTGTGGATTTTCTTTTTAAACTTTTGAAGCTGATTCACTATGCAAATTTTACTTTGCATTACAGGGTGTTAGTTGTGACTTCATCAGCGGTTTACCTTCCCTTGCTGCATCTACTTAAGTGTGAAATCATCTTCGTGAATATCTCATTATACATTTTTTAAATTGTGGGTTAAACGGCAAATAAGCAAACGGCTCTACTCATGGAAGCCGTATTAGTGCTTTCAATGTGTCTATATGTTTGCATACTATTTAACCACGATTTATTGCATCAATTATATGTATAAGTATACATCACGCACTCGTTTTAATTACAATTTAAGCTAAGTATATAAGTAAGATCAGTGATGATTCAAAATTTACCAAGTCAAGTCTATGCTGAAGTATTTTGTTATTTGTATAACAAATTTAGTTTTCTGGCGGCTTTGAATGGCATTTAAATTTACTACAAGCTAGAGGTAATTCTAGAACTGGACCCTCTACACTCAAATATCCGTATAGCAGGTGGCAAAATTAATTTCGCTGGAATGCACAGAATGCACGAATGTGGTTCGGTAGTATATTGCCCCAGTGGCGGCTAAGAACAATCCTAAAGGCGCCGATTGTCTCGTAAATTTTTTGCTGATACTTTGGCCTTGAGAATGGACCATATGGAAAAATACATTGGTTAGAAGTCCGGTGAAAATGGTGGCCATTGTTGCGAAGAAATGGAGCTGGAAAGTTTTTTTTCTAAAAAATGTTGAATTTCGCAAACTTAATGGGATTGTGACGGGTCTTATTGCAATGTCCACAGATTTCTATCGAATTTTTTTTCTCAAAAAAGTGTCAAACAGCTTTTTCGAAGTTCAAATTTGCTCCACCCAAATTTTCGGCGAAAATGCTATTCCCTGGGAGTAAATTATTGGAGGATTTCTTTCTTGGGAGAAGCGAATTTCCGGAAAACAAACTACCCGGGAGCATTCAGAATTGGGCTGATAATATAGTAAGTGTGTAGCGAAGCAGCCTTCATGCACCCTCCAAAGCTATACAAACGGCTCCAAAACTCCAGACGGCATACAAGCGGGCGTCTATGCACCCAAAACCAAAACAGAATGTTTGATATTCGACAGACTAACCATCGAAAAGGCGGCCACAACCTCAAGTAGGCCATACATTGCTAACTCGGTAATACGGACACTGCTACAAACCGGACATTCACTATTTCAGACACTAACAGGGATCGAATCGTAACATCTGTTCTTGGATCGAAAACGATACGAAAGAAAATTACGTGATACATCAGGCAGTATAAGCTGAATGGGACAAAGAGTACGTTCACGTATGCCATAATCCGAAAAATGTGTTTTTACGCGACGAGTAGTACGATATCGTGTGGGACGATTTGAGCCCAGCTCTATTCTGCACGTTACTGAAGATTTTGTAACCGTAAAATTTTATTACCAAAAAATGTTACCAGTTCCGTCATCTTGAATTTTTGGTTCTTGCGATTTGCAAGCTTATTCAGCGTTTTTCGAAAAAAAAAGTTATAGAATTTAATTTCCCACATTTTTTATATACAGGGTTAAAAAAAAAATATTTTTTATTGTAAATAATCAGAGACCCAGAATAATAATCATTTCGTGGCGGAGTTTTAAAAAAGCCATCTAAATTTTCGTAAGAATTATAAGTCTTTGGATGATAATTATGTATAAGAAAATTTTTGTAAGTCATCGATAACTTTTATTTTAAGACTTATATAATAGAAGTCTTTTCATAATAACTATCAGCAAGATAAATATTTTTAAGTCTTCAAAGACTTTTATTTTGAGACTTACATATATTATAAAAGTCGAAAAAATGTCTACAAACCAAGCCCCAACTACTCTCCAACTGGGCTTGAACTGGTCCCCACCTTGCCCCGAACTGGTCACAACTAATCCTGAAATGGTCCTGAATAAGTCCCGTCTTTTAAGACTTAAAATTTTTTTCGTGCTCATAAATATTATTATAAGACTTTTATAATACAAGTCTTAAGATAAAAGTCTTTGAAGACTTTAAAATGTTTATCTCTCTGATAATTATTATGGAAGGACTTTTATAATACAAGTCCTTGAATAATTATTATAGATGACTCGAAAAATATTTATCTTAATATAATGATTATTGATTGACTTTTATTCTTTTCTCTTATAATAGTTATGCCTCTGTAAAAAAATTAGCATAAACTGCGAAAAATTTTTACATTGTCACGGTTTTCCCCAATTTTTCAACAATTTCTGTTGAAAGTACGTAACATATTCGAATGGCAAAGTCTGCCATTAGTTATTCATCCATTTCATTCCACTCCACAACTTTTGTACGTACATTTTTTTGTTCGACGCTAAGATCACCACCGGGAACGTGCCAAACATAGCGATATAAGGGAAGCGGCGTAAAATTAATTTCCACATCACTTCAACTGGTACAGGCCGATGACCAGACTTCTATAGGATGGATTACAAAGGTTACGGTCTTAAACTGCGCACATTGAAAACAGTGTGGCCTTTTGAAAAATTCAACAAGGCGTCTAAATTAACCGTAAATTAGATTTTACTTTACGACGTTTGGCAGGTTTGTAGGTGAGCCATGATAGTGTGTGTGTGTGCCAAAAACGAAAGTAAATTTTCAAATGTAACGCAAAGGATTTTGGGATGGATCATATTTCGTGTATTCCATTTTAAAGAACTCCGTAATTTTTTTGAGTAAGTAATGTCTTATTGATTTAAAAATGCTCGGTAATCAACCAGAAAGGTGTCTATACGCATAACTCTAATACCGCCAAAGTAGTGGGTGCTTTTCATGGAGACGAAACGCACACATTTTTATAATTTGTTAGTTGTCTGGGATAATCCTCTATATTAAATTTCTAGTAATATCCTGAAACGAACTTCTTGGAATACATTTTTTTTAGATCATTGAAAACAATTCATTCATTCCTATTTCCATTTAAAAATTTGTATTCCCCTAAAAATGAAAATTTGTCATTTAGAGCGTTTTGCTTTAACGACGATGATACATGTAAATTAACAATAAAATATAGATTAATTCCACGTCTCCACACGGTCTATGACCGACGACAGTCTCTTCTGCCTTTGCATTCCGAGTAATTGTAAGCGGGCAAAAAGGTTAGCATTACTCATCGTTGTGGGGTTAAGTGCGTTCGCATGCACTTGTTGCATTCCCCTCACAAAGCTCTAATTTCCCCCCACACTATTAGTGCATCACAAAAACGCCGCATACGTATTTAACAAACATAATTGCACACAGTGACATTTGGTGTGGCAATGTGCGAGGGGTTTTGTTGCATGTATGTACATAGTATGTATGATTGTATTTATGTTTGTACATTGTATTTGTCTTTGACCAAACAATCAACATTCAACATTCAACATCAACGACAACCACCACCATCATCATCACCAACCAACATTGACACCGCCCGTCTTTCAACTACTTTATTGTTCACATTGTTTCAATAAACATCATTATCATCTTCAAATATCATTACAATTATCGGGATTATCATAAATGTATGTATGTATGTATGTATGTATATAGTTCTCATTTAAATGCTAATCATTCAAATAGTAAGCTGTTGCCACACACTTCTGCATTTTTTGGCGCTACAATTTCGCGCAACAACTTCCATCAGCATTTTTTTGTTTTTTTATGCATGTATGCATGCATTTTTCTTTATATATGTATATGTATGTATGCATTTAATGTAGTAGGTATGTATAAGTATAAGTATCATAATTATGCAGCTCTTGCAGTTTATCGCAATTATTACTTCTTCTTTGCATATTAGCTAATAGTTGTTTAGATAATTATAAATACATAGCGTAATATTGGTAGGTAATTTTTTTTTTATTCATTATTATTTCCTTTAATAGCCAGTTTCGCTTGAGTGCATTTCTCGCATTAATTGACACACATCTAAGTATGTATGTATGTATATACCATCTTTCCATCTCTCGGCTGTTCCTACCTCTCCTGCTGCGCTTTACCTTGACTCAAACATAGAATGGGAAATTATTTTTCTTAGTTGTAGCTGTGGTGGTGCTGTGATTGCTGCTGAGCGTGTAGCTCGTTTCGGCATGCGTCTGTTGCTGCTGCTGTTGTTGTTGTTGTTGCTGTTGATGGTAATGCAATAGTTTGAAGTGACAGGCCGCTGTAACGCGACTACTGAAAGCGCTACCGCTCGACTCCAATTCGCCGGCGACTTCGCGTATCGCAGCAACTAATTTTCACCTCGGCGTTGTACTCGTCGGCATTCTCTCTAGGAAATCTTTAGCTAGAACATCTTCGATTTCGGCCAAACAGCTAGCAACCTCCTTGTCGATGTCAGCATGATTATGTGGATTGGGGCAATTGACGCTAAGGGTTGAGAAGAAGCCGTATAAATCCCCTAGCGAATTGATTTGCTGATAGGTGAGCATCAAATGACGACCACGCTTCACGTTATTCGTCTGTAGCGAGGAAAAATTGTGTTATGGTGCGGAAAAGTAAGTAAGTTAGTACAGCGCATTAAACTTACCGGTGAGTGTACTGCATATTTCATATCCATTAGCCGCGCAATGCGCCGTATATGCGGTACGTAAATCGTTGTAGGCAGCGTTGCGGTTGCTATCTGCTCATCGCTGCTGCCATTCATAATGGGCACGTCTTCGTGTACATCGAATTCGGTGCCAACAAAGGCCCAGCGATACATTTGGAAATGCGGTAAATTGGTCGCAGGCAATACACAACCCAACTCGAGTAGTTTGGAAGCCTCCAGCTGCACTGAGCGCCAGTGTGTGACTTGATTTTGTGAACTCAAACCATTGCCAGAGGAATTCGATGACCAAGAGACGTCCATGCCGGAGAGTAAACGCATCTGTTGGCTGCCGTTAGTAGGAAAAGATTATAAAAAGCTGCGCTTTTTTGTTTGCAAGTTTACTTACCTCAAGTCCTCGCTATCTGATTTCAGCTCCTGTTCCATTGCTAGGAATACATGCACCATTTCAGCGATTATAATGGGCCACAATGAAGTGACATGATCGGCCGACATGCGCAGTAAGAGCACGCGGAAGCAAAGGAAAACAGCCGCCTGCACCGAGGGCACCATGGAGAGTAGGCGCAAGCTGTTGGCGAGTTGTTCTGCGGAAGAAAATATGTATTACTGAAAATGAGAAAAAAGTTCACAAAACAATGTTAGCGCACACTCACCCTGTATCTCGGGCATATACTTGTGGTATTGGTCGAATTCGCTGCAGAATATTACAAAGGCCAAGCGCTTCAGCAGCATGGATCGTTGTTCGTACTCTTGCTCGCGCGATGTGAAGATATTCAAACTGCCGGTCTGTGTGAGCGAGACCCGACTCATCAGCTCGCGGAATGTTGTGTTGTCGTATGTCATTAGACTGTCCATTATTTGTTTCCAGAATGGCAGACAGGAAATGTCCAGCTGGAAGAAGGAGTTATCGAGCAGCAGATCAAGCATATCCTTGCGCCACGCCTTGCGCGTGTACTGATAGCCGCTGAGGCTGGCAAGCAGGCTGGAACAGGCATAGAAGGCTGGCACATTGCGCGACGTGTGATTCTTCAAATATGGCGTTATGTTGTACAAAAGCGTTGTAATAATATTCACCACCTTGTCCTTCTCTTGCGAGCCATAAGCCACGTCCAGCAGATTGGCCAACGTGGCGGCCAGCACACTTTGCGCCTGCGCGGCATACTGCTGCTGCTGACCGCCAATGCTATCGCGTACGCTGCCCTCCGATGTGAGGGGATGGATGTCCTCTTTAACAGCAAGATTGCGGCGCAGCCAAGTGGTCTGCTCCAGACAAGAGCCAGCTACATTTGAGAGCGAATCGACCAGCCGCGCGGTCACGTCGTGCAAATCGCGTATGTCCTTCTTGTCAGGGAATGGCATTTGCGGACAGCGTTGCACGAATTCATTGAGCAACATGAGCAGCACAAATTGTGCTGGCGGCGTCAAGCTGAGACCGTCGCGCAGCAGCGCCAATAGAGAGCTCCAGGAATCACCTAGCTGTGGCGCGGGCGCCGATTTCATATAGAAGTAGAACAGTTCCAGCGCGCTCACTTCTATGGTTAGATGCACGGGCGGTCGATGTATTGGCGGCGGATTGCGCACCACCTGATGCAGCGTTTGCACGAATGAGTCCATTGGCATGACGCGTATGCTGGAAACGAGCGTTACGAGGCTGAGCTGCTCGGCGCAAGCTTGTGGGGCCGAATTGCGCTGGTACTGTTCGACAATGCTGAGCATGGATAGCGGCTTGGCGCGCTTGGCATACGCTTCGCCGCGTTCTTGCCAGGTGACTGCCACTGCGGCGAGGAAGTTGGCACCATGATGCAGCGACACAGGCGACAAGAATTCCATCAGCTGCTGTTTTACCGGGCGCACTTGACCCAATTCGCTGTCCCACACAGCAGCAACGCTGGTGACGATGCGCGAGAGATGTGAGAGCACGGCGTTGCGCGCTGCCAGTAGCTGTGGGTTACGTGGCGCCTGCGCTTCGGATGACTGTGATGTGCCAGCGGCGGCGGCGGCGGCAGCAGCAGCTGCGGTGGAAAGGAACGAATGCACAATGTTGTTGAGCAGCTGGCCGGTGTTTGAGCTCTGCGCGGCAACGCTGGTTTGTGGGTAGGCCTGGTTGAAAAGGTGTGAGAGCGTGGTCTGTTGCGTATTGTCGAGTAGGCAGTAGTGGCAGAGAATTGTGATGGCCTCCAGTTGTGAAACGACGTAGTCTGGCGGAAAGCCGCTCTGCTCCTTCAGCGTCAGCTTGGCAATGCGATCAATGTTGTGACAGAGTTGATGGACGACGCTTATGACGATGTTTGTCAGGGAGCCGCAGCTGAAACAATTTAGTGATGCTGTTACCAAGTCGGTCCAGTTGCGGTGCAGATGACGCAGCTGCTCATTCTGTAAAGCGCTCAGCACTGCGGCCAAAAACATCGGCTGTTGGCTAATCAAACAGTTAGGCAAGTATTTGACATTAGTGGCGCTCGAATCGCCGGCAATGTTGGATAGGCGCGTCGGCGATATGTTGCCCGAGGAATCTTCTTTGCCACTGGCGGTGCTCACGTTCGCGCCGCTTCCTTCGTGCTTCAACAACTGCACCTCATATTCAAGTTTTATCACAGACATGAGTAGACGCAGCAGCTGCAGCTGTAGAGATTCAGCGTGTAATTGATCGTCCAGTGGGTTGTTAAAGTTAAGTATGCGTGCTGGTAGCGAGTCAGCGGTGGCACGTTGCCGCTGCTGACGCTGTTGCACGGTAAACATGCTTACTGATGAGTTGAGGCAGTGCAATATTACCTTCTGCAGCTTGCAGCGCGCCATGAGATCGGCTATGTAGCAGGCGAGCCCTTTGCCCATGCCGCGCACAATGTCAATCAGCTCCGCGCAAATGAGCGACAACAGCTCAACGCTCTCCAACTGCACGCGGCAGTTGCCCATTACATCCTCGGCGGTGGGCGCATCTGCCGCGCTGTCTGCGTAGCGCGCCTCGTGGTGGAAGAAGCCGCGCGCGTAGTAGAGACAGATTGTCACGAGTACTTCCAAGTGCATGCAGGCGCGATAGCTCTGCGCATACTCTGTGTTGCTGATGCTGCCGGCGAACCCTTTACCCTGCATGCATTTTCGGTGCCGTATTAGCAGCTGCTTAAGCGTGCCACTAGCCACAGAAGTAGTAATGGATAAGCAGAGGAAAGTACGCGTGTCACACGTGATGATGTTGCGCAGCGTTTGGAATGCGTATAGTGTTTGTTTTGTGTCATAGGCACCACCCGCGTAGATTAGCATATGTTGGTAGTAGCACGGCATCTGGTCTGCGGCTAGACGTGTGGAACTATCGCCTGCGCTAATGCTCGAATTGCCACTTTTCATGGACGAACGCTTGCTGCCCGCGTCACCAGCGCTTTGCTGTTGTTGCTGCGAGGCAGCGGCATTTTGGCGCAGTATTTGCAAATTTTGTTTGCTCTTCTCCAGCGTTTCCTGTGTGAGCCCCCATTCAGACTTCTGGCTGCTGGGCTTTTGACTGGTTTCCAAGCTGAGCGTGCGTCGTTTCTCCTCCACATTGATGGTGGATGCGGTTGTGAGCGAATTGGATTGTGAGCGCGATTCGTACAGTCCCTCGTCGTCGTCGTCGCTCTGCAGCGAATTGCAAGTGATGTGCTCCTCCTGCAGGCTATTTGGTCCAGCATTACCGGAATAGCTGTTATTGCTGTCAGTGGAGGTCTTCGAAATGCAGCTCATGCGCTTCTTGTCGCTACTGCCTGGTGATTTCTTGCCCGCGGCGTGTTTCTTCTTATGCTGCTTTGTAGTGCCGTGCGCACGGTGTTGCTTATGCTTGTGTGTTTCTTCGTCGCGTTGACGCTGCGGTTGCCGCGTGGCTGCCGGAGGCACTGGTATTGGCTCGACCAAATTTTTCACATTTGTCTCCACTGCTACTGCATCAGCTTGGCTTGTATTGTTGTTGGCATTGAAATACTCATCGGCGGGATGAGCGGACTCATCCAGCGTGCCGCTCTGGCTTTGCGGACCCAGTGAAGACTGCTCGTCTGTGGTGGAGGTGACCGATGCCAGACTCGAGTCGCCGGGCGTCTTTTCGCGTGTTAGTCTGTAGGTTTTACGATTCTTCGTGCGCTCGTGTTGCGAAAGCAACTCTGTTACGCGCTCGCAATCGCCAACGAAACGCTTCAGATTACCGCTAACTGTTACATTGCTATTAATGGCGCCAGCGCTTGAGCTTATCGTCAGGCTGTCGTCCTTCTCAACGCTAGTTTCACGATTTTCCGACTCTGAATCGAACATGCTGCTCTCCGAGTCGTCAGTGTAGTCGTGCTCGAAGTCGTGCGGATCCAACTCTTCTTTTTCATCGTCCTCTTCTTCGACATCATCGTCGACCTTAACACTTTCTGTTGTTTTTGCATCAGTTTTTGAAGTTGTTTCCAGCATTTCACACTCTGTATCATTGTCGCCTTCATCATCGAAGTCTGGAGAATTATCCAAGGGATTAACTATTAGTCCAATGGTTGCATCTGCGGTTTCTGTGGCTGCGATTGCTTGTGGTGGCGTTTTGTCACTCACAAAATTTGATGTTTTATTTTTGCTGCTCAAAGTAACGCCGAATATTTTCTTATGGAAACTGCGTATGGGACTGCGCTTCTTGCTGCTTGAAGTCTCCATGTGATACTTGATGTTGCCATATTCTGAGCTGATGGCGTATACACCGCGTTCCAGCGAACTGTCGCCTTGATTGCCGCCTTGCTGTTGTTTGTCGCCCGAGTGCGATAGCGTTGCACCGTCTTCCTGCTGCAACAAGTGTAAATGCATGATGCCAATACGCTTCGTTTGTGGGCCTAACAAAATCTTGTACAGCGGCTTGATGAGACGTGGCAAATCGCCACGCAGCAATGCAGACTGCAGCCACTTAGTGACACAGGTGCGTACGGACATGTATTGTGGCAGCGCTAGCGTATCAAGTACCTTCAGCAGCGTCTTCTCAAAGCCTTTTGATGGCTGCTTGTCGCGCCCCAAATGCCAGAGCAATTCAAATTTGCGAAAACTCTTCGACTCACTCTCCTTCAGCTGCTCAATGGCGGACCGCGATACCGGACGCGCCGGAGAAGCGCAAACCAACTGTACATCGCGCGCGCGATCATAGCGGTAATTACGGAGAGCAGTTTGCGGTAGAAGGCTGTTGTACTGCTCACCCCAGCCGGTGGTTGCCAACGCATCTGCGGCGGCGAATTGCTGATGCATGCTGTGTGCATACATACGGTTACCGATAACGGTTTCGACCAGTCCACTCTCCAGACAGTTGTGCAGCTGATAGAGCAAAGCGGTTATCTGTGCAGGATCTATGCCAGCCTCACCTAGGTTGTTCCACAGTACTGAGGTCACGAGCTGGAAGATGCGTGTTTTGTGTTCAATGTAGCTGACATGACCGAATTTGAGCAGCGGCAGCATCACCACAAAAGTGACGCCGGGACTGGTTGTGTGTTCGATTTGAGACTTCAGGAGGCTGTGAGAGGATAAATTATCAACATTAAGGAAGACAATTTCTGTATTATTTCACACACACACACATACCTTATCAAGTCGAAGAGCGTTGTGATGGCCGCCAGCTGCAGCTCCTTATCACTTTCTGTATATGCGGCCCCAAGGCAAAGCACCTTCAGCCAACTCGGTATCTCCTTGTCATTCTTGTCCAGCACTATATTCTTATTACAATTGGGGAATGTTGACATTTCCACCAGCAAGTTTGCTGCCAATTTGATGGCCCTACGTTGACTATTCGACACCCGCAAATCCATTAGTGTTTGTATGCGTCGCTCTGTTCTTTCATCGCATTTTTGCAAAACACTTGCATCTTGTGAATCATCGCCGTCATCACTGGCATCGCTGGTGGTCGAATCAGTGGCTGTTGATGTAGCAGCAAGCGTGTGACCCAAAGAGCGATTTAACAAGCTGTGCAGCTGTTTTGAGCGACTCATTACATTCACACGTAGTGTGTCGAATAAACGTTCGACCTCCAGCAGGCGCTCTGGGCTTAGATCCTCAAAGATTTGCTCATTCTGGAAAATGTGCTCGACACTTAGTGGCTGATCGCGTTCAACTTCGACTTTGATGCGACACTTCTCCTCATCCACGGCGCTGGACTGCTTGATTTGCAGCACATGGCGCGTCAAATACAACTCAAAGAAGATTTCATACTGGCGTATACACTTTTCCAAGATCGTGAATTCTTGCTCATTGTTGGCGTTCACATCATTATAATCGAAAATTAGCTCCTCAACGCGATCCTTCGACAACTGTTCAGTGGCAGGTGCGCTCTTCGGCTGATCATCTGTTTCATCTGTGGTCTTGAGCATTGATGGATCCAATGATTTTGGGCCTGAGAGTGCTATGTTCTTGGGCCGCGTCTTCTTAGGACTCGTGCGTATGCGCATGTATGGCGTCTTCGCTTTAGATTTTAATTTCTTAATACTCAGCGGCGTATCTAAGTCCGAAGAGGATTGTGGTTCGATAATTTGACCGGTGTCGGGACAGATCTATGTGAAAAATTTTAAGTATTTCTCTGTTTTGAAGGGAATTTTCAAATATAATACCAACCTCCTTGTCCAGCTCCGACAATTTTGATGTCGATTTGGCCTTTTTCTTTTTTGGACTCTTGCGTTCCATGTGCTGATTGGAGTTTGAACGTCGCATGGGCGGTTCGGTATACGCGCTGTGAACAGAGCCTTCCTTATGCCTGCCATGCGACATGATGGTGCTCTCGTCACCCGAAAAATGATTTAGTTTAGAGTCGGATTTGCTCTTTTCCAGTGCATACATGGCGCCAGCAACCTGGGCAATAGATGTATTCTTAAGAACGCCTTTGTTAGCGCTGGCACCTTTCTCATCGGATGATGAGTAGTAGCCGTGATTGGTGCGCGGCAGTAACTTAATGGGGCTACTGTAAGAAACGTGCGTTTATGAGAAAAAGTATACACGAATTTTATTTTAATTTGTAAATAAAATAAAAAAATACTTTCTTACGTTATCATGGGCTGGACACGCGAAACAATTTTCATGCATAGTTTCAGTGAAGCAGTGATTTCATCGCTGCCTATATTGTCCAAATGTATGGTGAGCATCTGTGTGATAGCTAAGAATACTTTGGGCAAATAAATGCGCGTAGTTTCATTGTACATTTCCAAAGAAATGGTCTCCAGGAGGAATTCTGTAAGATAACAGATCTCCACCAGACTGGGATCTCCAGAGCCGACTTCGCATTGAAATTTTGTTTCAGTGCTGCTGCGCGAAATACTGCGTGACAGTCTTGCTCTCGATTGTGAGCGGCTTATAGATTTGTTGGACTGGAAAAAAGGGAGAAAGAAAATTTTCATTTATCTCAGTAAATTAATCTCAAAAACTTTTTAATAATTTTCTCGGAACTTAAAATACTAAACTGTATGAGCTGGTTTCTTCAAATCAACTTAACTTAGTTATTGACTTAGTCAAGAATAAGCTGTGTAAAACGTAGGCTAACTTCTGACTTAAGTCCAAAAAGTGACTAAACTAAGTTAAGTTGAGTTGGAGAAACCAGCCCTATGTCAGTATCAAATTTGCCATATCGGAAAAATGTTGACTTATTCCCTTTGGCAATTAACCGATTCAATTACTAAATTTTACTTCGAAATTCTACATTTATTTTTTAACTCTACTTCCCTTACCTTCTTGCATGATTTGTCATACATGCTGGTCATAAAACTCCAAATATATGCTGGGTCGAATGTGGCAAAGAGTAGATTAGCTGATTTTACCACCTCCACATTACTGCTGCTCGATAGCGACATGGTGCGTATAATGTCGCAGAGCACATGATCCAGTACAGCGCTGCCTATTTCTGCTTTATCCAGCAGTGAAACCATTATTCTGTAAGGTTTCAAATCCACCGGTGTGCTTTCTAAGCTGAACTTTAGAGTACAAATCAGCGATTGTATTACAATGTGTTTCGAGTGTTTTTCAAAATAAGTTTCTGTCTCGGCTGGTGGGCCATCTAAGGAAGCTGTGTCATATGTGGGCGAATTCTTAGCCACCTCGCTGCCCAGCAACCACGAATACAATCGTCTATTCAGTGACATATCTCGACGCAAAATCGTATTCAAACCGTTTGTGACCAATTTTATAAGATCGGCTTCCGTCAAGTAAATGGTGTGCATGGGAAAGCCGAGCAACAGGAATTCCAAAGTGTTGCGCTGCACTAAAATGACGCTATCATTCAGGCAGGCGCATAAGCCAGACATCATAATGTCGCGATTATGTCCCATAATAAATACTTGCTCTTGCATACTCATCCGCTTATTGAAATGCTCCAGTAGGTAGGTGACGGCCGGCAAGCGTATCGATGCATTTGTGGCCATACATTCCCAGAGTACAGTGTAAAAGTGTGTGGGATTGACAGCGGTGCAGACCTGTGTAAGCAGTGAATTCGTACGATCAAAGTGATCCAAGCCATTTTCATAGCCGGGCAGTACACCGCTAAGGAAGCCGCTGAGCGCTGGACGCAATTTGTCACCCAGTGGCACGAAGTAGGTCTCATAGATGCCCAGTAATGCGGGGCGCACATTCATAGCCGCATAGCCAAGTAGCGGGAAAAGACCAGCGCTGAGAAGCAAAAAACGAAAAATATAAAAAAAAAACGGAAGTAACATTGGAAGTTATGCCTGAATAAAGTTGAGGAAAAAATGTGCCACCAACCTGTAGATGAAGAGCTCTTGTGCTAAACGCTCTGCGCCAGTTTTGCTGAAGATTACATCGTAGGTCTCCAGCGCTTTTAAATGCACACCAGACGGCAGTGCAGGATGCATACATTGCGCCAAACGTTTGGAGATTTTTATGCGACGCGGTATTACCTGATATTGTGTATTGCTGGATATGGCCTGGAGACACAAAAAAAAGTACGGGAAAAAAATAAAAGTTTATAATAATTTCAGTTAACTGAGCGATAAAAATTGCAAGGTTAGCTACAAAAGAGCTTAATGTGTGGTATTAAAAAACATTTATCATGATTTCTTTGAAAAAAAAAAAAATAATAATTTAAAGGTCATAGACCCATTTATCAGCAACCGCAAACGTAAAATGTGTGTGTTAATGGTTGTATGAGTGATTGTGTGCTCGGTAAAAGTACTTTTGTGACCTTTAGCTTATTTCCCTGATTGTTTCTCTTTACACTTATCAGCATCAATTTCTTAAAATACCAAATTTTTACAGAAAACAAAGGAAACCCTTATCACTTGTTTGGATGTTTAAATGCCGGTAATGGTAGGCGATAAAAGAGGCGAATAAACGTTTATGTTCATAAATTAGAATCCGAAGGAAAATCGCAGACACAAAGTTTTGAACATTGGAGGCTTGAATTTATTATTTTATTTGCAATTTCTAGTTTAAACTATGAAATATGTATGTATGTAGGTATAAGTAAATTGTTGTTGGACCAGTTGCAGTTATTCTTAGCGCCGCCTTGAAGCACAGTGCCGCGAGACGACGCTGAGGACTTTTGTTGTATTCCATCACACCAGAACGCCATTGTGCTTCCATAGCAATTTACTATTCAAGAGTGCTCACAAATACTTTTTGTATACTTTTAAGGTTAATTCGATGTTAGCTTCGGCGGTCCCCATACAGGGGCCTTATTTAATTTATTAACTATCAGTAACCACTGCAGATCTGACAGTACATCCCCATTGGTAGTGCCCCACAAGTCTGCTTGGTTGGCTTTGCGTTGTTCCATATCGCACTGATCTTTCTGTAGCTTCGAAGCTCCCACATACACATGAGGGGTTCTCTAACTACTGCTTTAAAATGGCACCATTGTTCAAAGCTCCAGAAATGTCTTACCGTACTTAGAACCTTTAAGCATTCAAAAAAAAAGGTCTAGTATCTATACTTGACGTAAAAAAAAAAAAAATCATGGTGATCGTGGTAGATAGCATAAACAACACATCCAATTCTTAAAAACAATAACTGTCAGCTAAAAGTTACGTGGTAAATTGCATTAATCATCCGCATTACAAAGAATGGTCTAAAGAACTTTATCATACAACCACCACGAAGCCATTCAGTAAATTATATACGAGGAAGCACCCAAGTGTTATCTTCACTGTAACTTTTTTATCTACCATAATGTATATACATATGTATATAAACAGCTCTGTATGACTCAGTTGTAAATTGTCAACTAAAAGGTATATTTAGCAAGCTCAATACCTGTCACAAAGTGCCAATCGAACAAATATTTGCAGTGTAGTGTAAATTGTTTGTTATAACTTCTACATATTTACATACATACACACATACATATCGTTACCTTAATATACTAGAAAGGCCCTCACCAAGAGCCTTATACAATTTAAAACTTAATACTACAGTTTAATAACTTCAGTCTTAGTACATTCAATTCTAGAAAGTTCAATTTTGCAGTTGCCGAAAAATTGCGTTGTATTTTGGAAATTTTTTTACGCATTTTCTTCTGCACAAAGTAAATTCGACATTTCTTTTGTATGAAAAAAATTATCAGAGCACTTAGAACTTGTGAAAATTTAGATAAAAATTTGCATATTTTTTATAATTTTTACACAAAGTCTGAAATCTGGATTTATATGGTGTTTTTTTTTTAAATATAGCGAGCTAGAATTTAACGATAAAATATTAAACACTGAGTAAATAAACAAAAGAAAAATAGCCAATATTGATTAAAACTTTGCTGGCTTAATAATTATTTAGCTGATCCCAAGTGTATGCATGTACAACTAGGTGGTCCTTAAATGTAGGATGCAAATTTTTACATCAAATTTCCTAAGCCTCAACCCCCACGTCGAGTTACTATAGTCGAAGATATCACATATAAATTTTGGCCCCGATTGGAGTCGGTTAAGGTTATGTGATATCTTCGACTATGGTAGTACCGATTTTGGGTATTATGTACATGAAAAAAAAATTATCATTGAAAAAAATCTTTAATTTTAGTTTTTTAAGGACCACCCTAATGTACATATGTATGAACATATCATATGAAAAAAATATTAAATAAATATTAAGATATACATATATAAATATGCGTAACACTTGACCAAATAAATCGCACCCGCTGACGTTTCATACCTTGCTAAGCTTTCCAAGTGCCGATATCAGGTCAGCCCATTCGCTTGAATATTCAAAGTTGCGCAATGCTTTATCAATATTTGACATATAATTACGATACTTAGTTTCCGCCAGTAATTTTTTCTCCTCCATCAAAGCATCGGCAGTATCCATCTTGTTGTACTGTTTGCTTTTACGCCTCCCAGCCAATAGTTTAGTTTTTAAAGTTCTACTGAACTGCTTAGTGACGATTGCTGTTAGTTAAACCTGTAATAGAAAAATGCATAATTATACAATAAAATGCAAATATAGATAGTAATTTGTAATTGTATGCAATCTTAGCATGGGAAACCCCGCTTTTTTACGTTTACAAGTAGCTTCAGCTCGTTTGGCACTTTAAAATTTTTATTCTGAGAACGGAACAGCTGGTGCTTTCACGTCAATTGGTTATAAAAACGTATATGCACATGCAAGCATATAGATTTTTAAACATAAAAAGGAAAATCGATTGACATTGAACCCTGTCCCTTGCATTTCTGTATTGCAAAGGTGAACACTTGTTGCATGGAGTAGGCACCAATCTAATTACCCGTTGCTATGGCATAAAGCTTTTCGCTCCTGGCAACAATATTTCGTATTCATTGACTTGGTTTGTTCCTAGATTATTGTTGCCAATGTACATACACTGGTTACAGCACATTTTCTTTGTCCAATCATAAAATGCTGTTCTTAATTTCCATTCCAGCTGCCGTTTTGTGATAAATGAAATATTTATACACAACAACCCGCGTTGTTGCCGCTTACTAGTTCTACCAGCCAAGCAATAATTCAACAATGTACACATATGGTACGAAGCAGCGTCGCGGAGTAGTCGCTCGAGCAACGAACCGATGTGTGCATTCAATTATTGCGAATCTAGCTAATTCCACTGCTCACAATAGAGCAATTGTTTATTTACTTCGTGTCGTTTGGTTCTCTACATACATAGTACGTATACATTAATATATAGGTATGCATAGGCATATATATGTATACATATGCATCCGCATATCTCTATAAAATGTACAAATGTTTATATTTTTTGTACAAACTCTTGTTGAATGTTTTCGCATTTGCTTTCCACTAGTTTCCCCCACTTTTGGTGGGTTGTTTAGGTCTAACGTTTGCATTGTGCGACGGTGGCTGTGTGTCTGAATTGTCCAAATCAATGAGACGTGTGACCTTACGTTAATGAGTCTTTCAAAAGAGGAAAACCATAGCCACCACAACCTCCTCCGCTCGCCCCCACCATTACTTACTATTCCTTCAAGGTCTGAGAAGCGCACTGACTTCTACAGACTGCTGCGTTTGGTTGTTGCTACTAATGATTGTTGTAGGTGCTCCACCACCGTAGCTCTACTTTACCTCTATTGCGTTGTTGCCGATGACACACTAGTCAAACAGCCAATGCCAACCCAATTTACAACTTTCGAGTTTTATTTTTATGTATTTTCACTTCACTTTTCTGTCTTTTGTTTGCCAAATCCACAAACTTTTCAAATCATCTTAGTTCTTTTCAATGCCTTCCCGTATGCAAAATTTTTCTTGCAATGCCTCGGGTGTTTGCTATATTTTAATTTTATCACATAATTGCAGTTTTCGATTATCGTTTTTTCGCAAGAAAAGTAAAAAATTGCAATCGAAGTGAAAAACAGTGAAAAAATCTGAATCTGGCACTCAGTGACGTACAATAATCAGTTTGACAGGTGCGAACAGTGCTGCCAAGTAAACAGCTGTCGACAGGCGTTGCCAGCGGTTTTTGTATTACAATTTTATTTTGTCGATTTCTTTGATTGTTTGTTACCGTTACTTTGAAATCTTAAAATGAAATCTTTTTTTTTT